ACACACTGCAACAGAGATATGCACTGCGCGACGAAGACGAAATGCGCGCTGAAAGTAGACGATAGCTTCTACAAGGTAGTAGACGCTTAAAAGAGACTGCGCATAACTTTTGCGTGCAGTTTGTATGGATGCATCTTGAAAACGCGCCTTTTGTACAGGCTGCAGGCGCGAAAAGTAAGCCTAGATTTAAATTTTGGGGGCATTAATTTACTGGTGCCCCCCGAATGGGCTGGTGACTGCCCAAAAGTCAGGGCACGTTCGCTTGTGTCTGGGCTGTCACTTAAGGGAGCTATGCCCCCGACCCCCCGAAATTTCAGCGCTCCTCCGCCCTTCCCGCGCCCTCCCTCTTCAACCTCCCGCCCGTCAACGCGTCTTCAACCTCTGCCCATACCGCGCCGCCCAACATGGTCCCCAAGAAGAAGACGCCCGCCACCGGCGAATTGCTGATCTCTGTTGCTGAATTCAATCGGACTAGAGACCACGTACGTACCCAATTCCCTTTTTGCACTCTGCAATCGCAATTGCGACACGCGCGCATAGCTCTGTCGTCGCGTCGGAACACCACACGGTCAGCGCGCATTATCGCGCCACCATCATGTCGCCATATGGATACGTCTGTGTAACATGGATCGCGTAATCTACGCGACCCGATACATCGTGGTTTCAAAGCAAAAACTTACAATTACGCGCAGGTTCTGGGCTCTCTTCACAGCCTCCAGAATGGTCTCGTCAACGTACAACACCAGATCACCGTCCTCATGGACCACTACAACAAGCACTGCGCATCAGTCCTTGGCATCGAAAAAGACGACGTCTCAACCGAGAACGATGCTATCACAAGCACCATCAAGACAGCCGCCAATGTTGTAGAGGGTGGCCAAAAGCTTATGGACAGCGTAGCCGGAGACGTTGGCGCGCCTGCTGAGAAAGCAATTGACGGCGTCAAGAGCAAGAAGCGCAAGCGCGAGAAGAAGGAAAAGGACCCCAATGCGCCCAAGAAGCCCCTCACTGCTGCTTTCCTCTACCACCAACACGCGCGTCCCATCGTCAAGGCGGATCTGGAGGCAGCGCTCGCTCCCGGTGGCACACTCGCTCCAGCCGCCGTCCAGACCGAGGTCAACAGGCGCTGGGCTGAGCTCTCTGACGCAGAGAAGGAGGTAAGCACACAATCACAAAACCCGACAATCAACGTCTCACTAACCCAACCACAGGAATGGAAAGCATCCTACCGCAACTCCATGGAAGAGTGGAAAGTCCAAATGGCCGAATACGTCAAACAAAAGGGCATCAAGGACGCCGAAATCGAAGAAGACGACGCGTCCGAGGAAGGCGAACCAGAAATCGAAGCCGAAGTCGAAGCCGGCGCCGCAGACAGCGACGCCTCCTCGGAAGACGAAGACGAAGCGCCCGCCAAAGCCCCCTCTCCCCCCGCAAAGACACCACGCAAGCGCCAGAAGACCACGCCCGCTGTAAACGGCAACTCAATCCCCGTCTCCATCGCGCCCGCCACAGCGTCCACGCCCGTCCCCCTGCCTACCTCGCGCTCCGCACCCCAAGCCACTACCTCGACCGCCCCCGCCGTCGCCGAAACCCCCGCAAAGAAAGACAAGAAGAAGAAGGAGAAATCCGCGCCCCAACCCATCGCTCCCGCCCCGGCTTCTTCCCATGACGAACCCACTCCCCCCGAGGAGACTGGCGCCGCGAAGAAGAAGGCCAAATCCGGGCGTAGCACGCGCAACACGGAGATGGAAGGCGACAAAGAGAACGCGGCGGCGCAGGAGAAGGAGAAGGCTGATAAGGCTGGTAAGGAGAAGAAGCGCGATCGGAGCAAGAGGAAGAGCGAGGTGGCTTCGTCTTAGAAGAACGGCCGACTTCCGGGTTTCTGATTTTGTGGTTTCGCGAGAGAGAGTGTGTGTGTGTGAGAAGAGGCTTTACGGTCGCTCAATGATGCTCTGTACCTGTATATGTATGGACGACGAGTCGCTGTCGCTGGGTTCCTTTTCACGGCGAATGGTGCGGATGGATATTCTACTTTTTTTCTTATCGCGGAGAGCATCGAGATGCTGCTACATTACATACAAAATGCACGCTCCAGGCGAGTCCATTAATTGTACTACTAGCGCTGTCTACTTCATACCTTCTTCTATGGAGGTAGACCTGGAGAATAGATATGTCTATCGAGGAGATGCGCGAATGGCACTGGTTCTTTTACATGGGCGTTTGATTCTTTTTGACGTGAGTGTGTGGATGTGAAGAGGTCTGGCTCTTAGTATCTTGTATGTGTATGCATCAGAGGCCTATACTACAGTCAACCACAAGGTCCTTCTTGTCCCGAACGCAAGTTACATGGGCTATCCCAACCCATCTCTGTCCAACCCCCACAACTCCTATACAAGCCATCTTCTATCCAAGTCCAACGCCTCCCAAGTGGATAAAATGGATATCCAACCCTAGCCCTCCATAGCATCAGCAAACACCTCATCCTCACTATTCTCCCCCACATCCACATCCATATCCCCCATCCTCTCATCCACACCATCAAGCCCCATACCCAACCTCACCTTCCCACCCACACTCTCAACCATCTTCTCCCCACCCGCCTCTACTCCCTCACTCTCACCCAGTCCAACCCTGCCCAAACCCGCCCCAACAACACCCTCAACACCTTCCTCGCCTAGCACCCCCCTCATAACACTAATCCCATACCTCAACCTCTCCTCCTTCACCTCTTGCAAATACTCCAGCGTCAACCTCGCACACTCCTCCTTCGCCTTCTTCCTGCCGTAGATATTCCGCACCTCCCCAATCGGACCCTCGTGCTGTCCCGCACCCTTGAAGTAACAGCACACGCTGTGGAATGTAGGATCGGAGGGGTGGGGCGTGTAGATCCATTCTGGAGTCGGGAGCGCGAGCGTGACGGCGAGGGTGGCGACGCGGGAGGCGTAGGAGGGTGTGCCTGGGGGCGCGGGGGTGGGTGTCGTTGCTTGGATGGGGGGTGTGGAGGGGGAACTGGAGTTGTCTGGTAGTGGGGATATTGAGACGGTGTCTGGGTCGGTGGGTGAGGCTTTCTTTCTCTTGCGGATGCCGCCGACGGCGGTGTCGTCCGTGGGCCAGGTGCCGAGGGCTTTGAAGTGCTCGACGGCGTGGCGGGCGGCGTCTTGTCGAGCGGCCTTTTTGGAGGAGAAAAGGTTTGAGATGCAGCCGAAGGATTGGTCTTCGCCGTCGATGGTGATGATACAGGAGAAGCGTTGACCGGATTGGTAGTCGGTGTATGTGGGTTGGGGGGAGTCGGTTGCGCGCTGGAATTCAAGTAACTTTCCAACATAATTCTCCCCCGGCCCCTTCTCCTTCTCCTCCTTCCCTTTCTCCATAGCCTTTCCCTCCCCCTCATCACCCCCCTTCTTCTTCTTCCCCTTCCCACCTTTCTTAACCCTCCCCTCCTTCTCCAGCTCCTCCAACACACCCAACGCCTTCTGACTCATAGCCTCCTTGGCCTCTTGCTTGCTATTAAACTTCCTCTCTTCCTCGAACTTCAAGCCCTGCAGCTCCTCCGCATCATCCAGACCAGGGAAGGAAACGGAAACAGTCCAGCCCGTTTCACTGCCTCCTCCGTAGGTGAACAGTGGTTGCGGGATGCCGAGGGCTTGGTATTTTTCGTGTAGGAGGATTGTGTGCCGGGAGGAGCGGGCGCCGACTGCTACAGGGATAAGTGGAGTGGCTTTTTGGTTGGGGGTTTTGGGCTTCTTTGAGGGAGGAGCAGATGTAGATTGTTTGGTTTCCTTGACGAACTTTTGGGCTTGATGGGCGTCCTTGTTCTGGATCATGAAATCGTCCATACTGATGACCCCGTCGAGTGGTGTACTTCCATCCATGGCTTCGGCATGCGCACCTCCGAACGAGGTCGGTGGCGGAGTGGGTGTATCGACTTCCATCTTTCTCTTCTCAGCCTTGTTGGTTGTAGAGTATGTTTGCTCGTATTTCGTATCCTCGCAGCTCCTCGCCGAGATCTGTTTTTCCTCACTACCAGCAACCGGACTTGAAGACGGAAGTAATGAACAAGAATCACAAGAAGAAAGTGTCGGAACAATCAGGTATCTCTTCAAATCCTCCCCCGCCGTATCCATAGCAAAGTCCGCGAACGAAGTAGCGTGCCGAGCGCTTGCTGTGTCGTCGCTTGAAAGTGGAGCTTTCTCGCTGTTTGCCCCGCTCAATGCGGGCAAGCAGGCGTGACCGCGCGCCAGCGCGTTTGTCGACTTTGACGCGCCTTAGGCTCTTTGCAGAACCTTGGGCTGTAATGACGCCGGTGCGCACATGCGGTGTAGCGATAGCATTAGGTAAACAACATCTGTTATCGTGGCTGAGTGCAGCAAAAGGGATCATGCACATGCCCATGGACTGACTGACATCCAGGGTACCCGAGGCGCACCGCTTCCCTTGCGGGTGTGACCGCGGCCGTTGGCAATTACGTAGTTTCATCCATGGATTCCGCCTACATACATGCCACAATGTCCTTACAGATCTTTATGCGGGATCGGGTGTAGCGTTTGTTGGGGCTCCTACCCCGAAGATCAAAGCTTTTACATGTGCATATCTTGTCTATTTTAGGGGTGTATGCAGGTTGATCGGCTGTGCAGCGTAAGGAACGCCCTATCGACCGTTTAATGCCTGTGCCGGGAGTCTGACGCCATTGCCGTTGCTAGCGTGTAGTTTTGAGCGGCTCGGGTGTGTCTGTCAGATGCATGCGTCGGTGGGTCGACCATGTTTCATGTATCTTCGCGGCGTCAAAGGGATCGGAAAAGAGAAGGGCAGTTGTACGTGCAGGACACGAGCATTTTGCGATCAGTGTGTCGAGACATGTCGTACGAGATAGGTATCAAATTTCGCCATCGTGAGACGTCTATACTCTTTCGATAATCTAGCTAATCTTAATCTACATGATACATATGTAACCAACATAAAGTCATTTCATCGTAAGCGGCCTCAAGGGGGCCAACCGAGGTCTAATAACCTCTTCCTGTTTGGTCTCTCTCAACTAGACCCGGCACACCGTAGTCTGGACCGTGTGTTTGCTCTTCCAAGTGTCCTGTCCCATGAACGACACTACTACCCATGTCGTCTTGGAATGGGCTTTGGAGCCCGTGCAAACCCCAAAAGGTGTGATTCGCGCTGGGGAAGATACCCGCCACTGAATCCTGTCTTTGACCGACTTGCTGATATGGGTCATGGCCATGGACAGCGCCTTGATTTGGTGCTACCTGAGCATGGCCATCGTGGCCGAGGTAAGGACGGTACTGTTCTGCTGCATTATCGAGGTGCGAAACGAGACGTGCGTGCTGCCAGTTGGGTTTGGCCGAATAGCAAGCTGCATTGTTGGAATAGTGCAGATCGTTGTTTGCATCCACTGGAATCAGCTGTCCATGTTCGCCGACAGCAAGCCCCATGGTTGCGAGCTCATCGTGCTCCAGTCCAGCGAGCGTATGCAATCCCTCATGTCCAGTGCTTTGGCTAAGGAAGCCTCCATATACCTGGGGGTTGCCAGATTCGAAGTTGCCTCTGATACCCACGTGCCCGCCGTTGAAGTTGAAGTCATTGCCTTGTGTGTTCGGCGATGCCATGCCTGAAGTACGTGATAGTGCAAAGCTTTCGCCAGGGAACTCAGTAGTAGTGGTGGCCACCGAGGTGTCGAGGTGGACTGAATCTGGTTGCATTGATCCGAGAACATCGACGGAGAGAGGTGGTGGCAAGTAAGCATGGTGAGATTCAGTCTCGTATGAGTGGTGGCTTATATGTGTCTGTGCCAAGTCCAGTGGTAGTTGTGTAGTTTGGTAATAAGGCGTCGTATCCATATGTGTAGACGTTGGTATGGCCGGAGTACGCTTGTGACCAAGTTCCGTGTCTTCCGAATCTTCAGTCTTGGATATTGCCTCATAACAAGATCTTTTTTCTGCAGCTGACCGATGATCAGCGAACTTCACGGAACGCCACTCAATATTGCCAACTTCTGCAGATTCACTCGTCTGCTGGAACCTCCAAAGAACTGTAGTGAGGCATCTGACCTCGCCTGTGTTAGCAACAACACCATATATGTACTGCATTGCTACCAGGTGTTGAAGCGATTCTTTGCAACTTTCCTCGCTTCTGTGCGTCAGGTTCTGGTTCTCCCTCACATGCCTCGCCCATGGCTGCGTTGTAAATTGCACGCACAGGACACCTTGAGAGCCTTGGGGGTCTCGCCGATATTCGCAAGTGGATCGCGTTTCTTCCCGGTCATGCCTCGCGCGGTCAAATTGCGGGTCGATTACGTTGTCGCCGCTGTTGTAAAATCGCGTCATGCATTCCACATAGTCGTATCTTAACAAATCGGAATGCGATTGAAGATCGAAGATGATGGTTAGGTCGGCATCTGGCGGCACCTCTGTCATCAAGGCAGTAGATGCGGTACCGACCAACACTTTCCGACCGTTCTCCATCCATTCCTCGGTCTCAAATCGGAGGAAGTCAAACTCGCGGTATTGATGGCGCCAAGAGGCAAGATCTACAACATCCGAGCTATCGAGCCTGCCATGCGATTGTGATTGAGCCAAACAGTGCATGGGCTGATGATCACCCCCAAGGAGGATCTTGAAGCCCGTGACTGCGAATGAAGAAGACAGCGCATCAGAATCTGGGCCGGAAGCCAGGGCGAGGTCGGATTGTGGGCCGCTACAATGCGGCAGAACGTGCGGCGAGGAGGTACTGGAATCGGATTTGGTAACAGACTCTGTGCGCTGCACATGTTGGCGGCCATGCAGCTGTGACGAATAGGATGACCGGGCGGATGTATTCGTAGATCGGCGCTTAGAGACGTCCTCTGGTGTGGCCATGTAGAGTAGAACTGTCGCGCAGGTTAGTCTCAATTTGGTAGTCCCTAGCGGAACCCTCCCAATCACACCAGGAATAGCAACCGCAAAGCCACCGCCACTGCCTTCTAGAAGAACTTTGGAAGAAAGGAATGCTCTGACGACTTGAAACTGGATCGACGCATGCGGGACCGTTGCCCCGATGTCATGGGCGAATGAGAAGAGGCTGATGCCGATCGTTACACGATGTACGAGACGGGCACTCACCAGCAGGAACTCCTCTGAGCTTGTCCTTGAGGACCTGGAGATGGCTGGAAACCTGTTTGCGGTCGCGTCTGATACCAGTGTCTCTGTAAATAGAATCCTGGATCAGCTCATTCCGCCCTCGCTGGGTGCCTTCGAGCATGTATTTCTTCCTTCCCATTGGTGGCCATCGTACGAGTGCTGTAGAGTGTTTGTCAGATGTTGGGCTGGAATCGTGAAGCTGCGTAATCATAGGTGGTGGGAGAATAGAAGTGGAAAACGCAGGTAGTGAGACAGACGTACTGCGAGATGAGGTGTAATGAAAATGAAAACTTACCTGTCCAGAAGGCTTGTTCTAAGAAGTCAGGCCAGACGGTCTTGTCCTTCTCTTGCTGTAGTCCCTGTGCCTTTCTCTTTTCCTGCTCCTTTTTCTCTGCAGCGTCTCTCGCGACCACTTCGGCCGGTGTGAGAGCTGGTTGCTTTTCGCGATATGTCTGGTACTTCTCTGACCGCTGAAGTAGCTTGTATAGTCGCCCGAGTTCGCATCTGATCTGCTTCTCCGACCTCTCGACGCCGAAGCCTGCCAATCCGATGTGTTGTGCGTGTACATTGCCCGTGTAATAGTTTCCTGTGGCGACGCTCCGCTGTGCGTGAGAGCTGTCGCTGGGGCTGAGACTGCTTCTTTGTCCCACTTGTGGCGAGGCTGTACTGCTATGAGTGTTGTGAGACTGCGCAGCGTAACGCTCGTGGAGGACGTCTCGATGTTGTGGCGATCCATCGACCGGAGTACCTTCCAAGAGGGGAATGTCCGCCGACAGCCTGGACAAGGGCTGGGGTGACTGGACCTGCATGGCGGCTATGGCATGCAAACCTCAGAATATGAAACCAGCGATGATAAGTATGAATGAGATTTGAAGTACAAAGCAATGAATGTTGAGCAGTTGAAGCAACGAGCGTGGTGAACGAAGACGAGAATGTAGCTGGGTATGCGGCGAGGTTTGCAGATGATTGCATTGATAAAGTATGGTCCAGATGACGGGCCCTAGGCAGGAGGACTACATGATAGGCACGTAGGCCATAGCACCGACCGTAGGGTGCAATACGACTTCCGCTAGCCGGAAATTGATAGAGGGGCCAGTCATCGGGGTGACAGTCCAGTACCACAAGATTAAGATTGGAGTGCGTCGTGCCTTCATCATGGCCTCCAAAGAGTCCCAGTTCGACTTTTGGCCATTGATCACATGTCTCGTGAAACCTTTGCTGTTGTAATGGTAAATGTAGCGTGGTTAGCAGAGTGATCAAGGGCATGGAGTCAAACTGCCATCTGTTCGACAGTCACCTGATTGGCCATAGGCGAACAGAGCCATCACGGACTGCTCAAAGCAAGGATAGAGGTCAGTGTCCGCAAACAACAAACTACGTCAAGTCTGCATGATCGACAAACGTCTCGTTCATGGCTTCTTTACTCCCTTTGGAGTAGTCTGAAACGCCGTGTGGTGGCCATGCCCATTGATGCAATCCACTGGCGATATACCCTGTCGAAGCTTAGAAAACGGTGTTCTAGATATAGCGTCGTGCAGCAGGTCAAAGCACCCCTACTACTTCCTACGGACCGCGGCAAAGGGCGGCCTAGCTTGTGTGGCCGGGGAGCAAGGGATGGCGTCAAGGTATGACGGTGTCGCGCGCGCAACTCCTATCGGAATACTCTTGCGCTCAGTCGTCTAGATCATCGGTGCCTGCAACGTTAAACTTCTTGCGACCACCTTCTGTAAGGCGTTGCAAGGCGACCTTGTTGGCCTGTGCTCCCACCTTCTGTTGCATCTTCTCCAGCTCCTTCTCTGGATCATCAGACTCCGTCTCAGCAAATGCAAGGACCAGGCGACGGCCCAACAAATGTGTGTTCTTCAATGCGTTCATGGCGTTGACAGCATCGCGTTTGGTGGTGAACTCTGCGAAACCGAAACCACGTGAGGAAGCGTCGAACTTCTTGGGTACTCGTACGGATCGAAGCTGACCGTAAGGAGTGAACAGAGCACGAACATCCTTTTTGCTGGCTTCGAACGGCAAGTTCTTGATGAGAATCTTCGTGCTTGCCGCCTTCTTTGCTGCATCCTCGTTGCGGCGTTCCTCGGCGGCATCGGCGCCCTTGTGGGAAGCTTTGATGAGAAGCTTGTGCCCTTCGAGATCGTGTCCATCCATGGCTCGCAAAGCTGCAGTGGCAGTCTCTGGACTGTTGAATTCGACGAAACCAAAGCCCATGGACAGCACGCCTCGCTTGGGGTCGGTCTTGGTCTTGACAGTGGCACTCCGGAAACCTGCCAGAGGTTTGAACGCCTCCGTGAGACGCTCAGTTGTGGTGGAGAAGTTCAAGTTGCGCACGTACAAAGTGGCGGTGTTTGTAGCCTCGGGCTCAGGGTCGTCCACGAGCAGGTCAGTTGCAGAAAGCTTCACACCGGGCTGTGAGGACTGCAAAGGCTGGGCGGACGGGGTGGTCTGCACAAAGTTGGTTGCTACACCTTCCTTGAACAGATCCTTGGGGGCCTTTTCCAGGTACAGGATTGAGTCTTTCATCTTCCGATACGACAGCGACATGAAGGCAGTCTTTGCTTCCGCGACGTTGGAGAACTCGACAATGGCTGTCATACCTGTCGGTGGCATCAGGAACTTGGTCAACTTGCCATGCTCCTCGAACAGTTTTCGAAGCTCATCGGCCGTCACAGTGTGGGGTACGTTCTTGACGAGGATAGCAAGGTCACCTTTAGCGCTGCGTTGAAAGGCCTCTAGGTCGACGCCATGCTGCGCAAAGTACGACTTGGTCTCTTGGATGATGTGTGTCTCGGCATGCGCCTGCCTGACTGCAGCGTCTGACGAAGTAGGGTCGAGCAGCTCACCCTTGCTGATGCCCATGCGACTTGCGATGGTGGACATGACTGCATCGGCATTAAGGTAGAGCGAGTTCCAGTTGAACGTGGCCTTGACTGCCTGTTGTTTCCTTCTGATCTCCTTCTGCTTCTTGAGAGGCAGCTTCGAGATCTCGTAGTCGTCGAGTTTGGTATCCTTCTTCGCTTTCGCGGAGATGATGTGAAGGAGGCGTCCCTGGAAGATGGTGTTGTCGTTGTCAAGGTAAGCTTCCACTGCATCGCTCGGGTTCTGGAATTGCACGAAGGCGAAACCTTTACCCTTGCCATCTGCCTTCTTCAACGGCACATGCACCTGTCCTAGTCAGCAACTGTTCGTACAGATGTACATGTGTAATCAAGGAGTGGTTGCCGCTATCAGATAAGAAAGACATCTACTAAAATACTTTCACAAGGTAACCTCAGGTGCCGAAGCATCAGTTGTCCCTATCTTGACGTTCATCATTGCATAAGCGGGTAAAGAAAGAGATATATGATGACTTACTTCCTCGAGAGCTCCGTGCTTGGAGAACTGTTCCTTAATCTCATCTTCTGTCACCTCGTAGTGCAGGTTTCTGAGGTACAGTCGACCAGTCTCGCGAATCTTGTCCTCCTCGTCAGGCGCGGCAGCAGTATCGGTCTGCTCTTCCGCCGGGGGTTGTGGCTCTGGCTGTGCGTCGGCAACGGCCGGTGAAGGCTCAGCAGGTGCGCGTGGTTGGGCAGCTGGTTTCGGTGCTACAGCGACAGGAGCCGTGCTAGCTGATGGCATTTCATCATCTTCCACGAGCTCCAAAACCCTGTTTGTTCTCGACCGCAGCCAGTCCTCATCTGTGACAGGTCCTTGTTCGACGGCTGGCGCTACTTGTACGTCCTCCATCGCATCGCCACCCTCTACAGCTTCTGATTGAGTCGCTGCTGCACTTGGTTCGGCGGGCGTGGGCTGAGGGGTTGCAGGGGCTGGCGCGGTCGCAGGCTCTTCAGCAATCTTTGGCTTCTTCGAGATGACTTGATATTCATCATCGCTCTCGTCCTCCGGTACAGCAATCGCCGGTACAACCTCTTCAGCGGCTGCAACAGGTGCCTCATTGAACTGGGTATCGCCATTGGCCCAGATGCTGGTCTTAGACGGCGGCTGATAGACCTCCAAGAACTCCTTCAGCTTCGGGTCCTGCTCGGCTTCCTCTCGTTTTCGCTTGAGGTCATTCTCTTGCCGTTCCGGTCGGTACTCGTCGCTTACTGGGGCGCTCTTCTCGAGTTTCTGCTGCCGCCGTGACTTTGGCAGTTCCTTGTCGGCGATCTGCGCATGTTAGCCCCGCTTGTCGCCAGCGTGGTCGCAAAGTACATACAGGTCGCGCAATCTCTGCGTAGATCTTGGTGAGCTTGATGAAGGTCTTGTTGAAGTACTTGACAGCCTTTGCAGCATCTTCGGGCGTCTTGTAGCCAACATAGCCGATGCGTCGGTGGTTGAAGAACTTTACGTCAGTGACGGGAAACTTGGCAAAGTGTTTCCGCACGTCATCCTCGGTGAAGTGAGAGGGCAAATTCCTCACGAATATGCGTGACGACTCCATGCTGTAAGAGTCTTGCCTGCCCGGGTTGTGGTGTCGTGGAAGGAGTAGTGGATGTCAGTGTCGCGTTCTGAAGAAAAAAGTGAACGACGCATGGGCCGGCAGTCCACTAGCGCGCATTAGGCTCACGGGGAAGGCCCGAGCGCAGACCGCCGCGAGCGCCTGCTCAAACATCATGACAAGGCCCTGGACAAGCCTCACTCAACCACGCGCATTATAAGAGCTGCCTACTTTGAAGGAAGCTACACCACATCACTCAACCTTTGATACACATACAGATCAACACCATGGCCAGCGACAAGTCAGATGCCCACAAGCAGGATGGTAAGACCCCTTGTTCCTGTCAACACGTCTGCCAAAGTACAAGCTAATGCAGTATGCAGCTCAAATCAAGTCTGCAGACATGGTACGGGATAGCTAGGCTGCTGCTTCCGGATGCATATTGACATGTGTGACAGAGCGACGAGATGCAACAAGAGGCCATTGAAGTCGGTAAGTCAACTGCTTCCAACATGCGGCTGACGGAACGCTGACATTTTGTAGCACAGACGGCTATGGAGCAGTTCACTATCGAGAAGGTAGGTCTTCGTTTTCCGCTCAGGCCGAGGCCACCCTGGGACCGTACTGACCCTCCACCTGTAGGACATTGCTCAGTACATCAAGAAAGAGGTATGATCATGTCTCCAAGAGCTACAGGAAGCGCGCGCTAATTACTTTCTAGTTCGACAGCCGGAAGGGCGCCACATGGCACTGCATCGTTGGCCGCAACTTTGGAAGCTTTGTCACGCATGGTAAGCTGAACCTTTCTATTATAAAACATTCGTTCAATGATATCTGACTGGATTGCAGAAACGAAGCATTTCATCTACTTCTACCTCGGCCACTGTGCTATCTTGCTCTTCAAGACTCAGTAGACGAATGCGACTGGACCAAGGCGCCCGTGACCTCTAAGAGTCTCGTCCATCCTCTCTACTCAGGTCTTTTCTGTAGAGCCAGCATTGGGTCTCTTCTCATATTGAGAGACGCTGCCTCACTCTCGTAGTATGGATGTGATCCTCCAACGGAGGTCTATGGGCTCTGCGATTCATCGGTGTTGACGTGCGAAGGATAATGAAGGGCTTGTACTATCCTACTCTTAATGACTGTCACGAGTCTCTTTCCGACAAGAGTGGCTTTAGAGGCTACTGCTCGATACCATAATAAAGAGTTGATGTTCCAACTCCATCAGCTATCTGTGATTTGCCTCGTGATTGTGATCAGGTGACTGACATCCACTGCGAATCACGATGCGGGCGCAGCAGTCCTCATCAGGTAAGAGCTAGCCGTCGATCAAGTCCTCCGCCACATCCAATTCAACCACATGCCAACACTTCCGCTCTTGCACTC